TTGGGCGAGTCTTGGTTCAGCCTTGTGATTAGTCTTGGGGACTTTTCCCCAGGGCGCTGTGTCTTATAGAGTGCTCCAAAAGATCGACTAAGACGAGAGCTGAAACGTATTTCGTTGTGTGTGTCTTATTTGACTGTAAAGTTAAAGTGACTTCCCGATCCCGTACCTCAAGGGGACGAGATATAGAGACGAGACGAGTCCCCCCCCCCCCTGACAAGTGTGGAGAACCCGAGAGAGAAGAGTTTTTCACCCGTGATACGTGGTGTGAGAACCCTGGGCATTGCGTTTTACGCACATTGACATCCTGTGAAGAAAAGTGAATGGCGAAGATGTGTCTTTCTTGCGAACCGAACTAACCAGCTCAATGGCAGAGACGAAACCGCGCTTGACGACTAACGGCTTTACCCGAACGACTGTTAAGCCACTATTTTGGTATTTGCCACTATTTTGGTACCCAAGAAATTAAAAACCAATATTCCTTCGTTTTTTTCATACTGTTTTTGGCAGAAATCAATAAATCTCATAATTCTAATTAATTTTAATATTTGTTTTATAATTTTACTTTATCATATTACCTTAAATTGGGCTTTTCTTTCTTTGCGCATGTTTAATGACGAAATCTCTACAATTCCCACGCATCCACAATTGCACTAACTTAGGGGGTACCGCTCTGGCAGTCATTTTCAAGAATTCGTTGCTTGTCACAGGCGCTCTGTATGCTCTCTATGTAATCTGTGGCTGTTTTGTGTTCAGTAGCTAGTGACATCCACACATTTTAAATTTACATGTTATATCTTATGTTAGTATTCCTATACAGTGTGTTATTTGAAGTAGCAGTGGCGATAACCGCGTTACAAGTGGCGTTGGAATTCAAGACGCCATTGACAGCGTTCTATACGGACTCGCCTTCCTCCTGAAAGTCACGGTGCATGACTGAGAGTGGTCGTACAGTGATAGAGTTTTTTTATCAAGTGACAGTGGTTCAATTGAGTGTGTTTGACAGGTGAGCTTTGACCCTATATTCAGTATTGATATAATATTAATTCGAAGTTTGATGAAAGTTGGTGTTCAGATTTACCCATCACTGAAATTGCCGATTTCTGACGAGTCATGTCGTCATTATGTTGTAAAGTGTGTTTCAAACGTTTTACTTATGAAAACTGCTTTATAACAGCAATATGTACCCCTATATCATCGGAAGTGTAAATTTGTTAATTTCTAGTTGATCACAACGAGCGATTCATGTTTTCTATGGAGGTCATTGGATGTTAAGCTCGCAAGCAATACTACACTAGTAGCACTGTTACCTGACATTGTATTTACCAAGTGTCGCTGTTTTGTTTTACTACACATTTTACCTAATTTTGATATTTGTACTATCAGATTTTGTTTTTACAGTTAAATTATTGTTCATGGTAAGAATATTTTGGGGGAACGTCACCCATGTATCCAATCTTTGCAGTTGGATATTGTTGTTGAAATAGCTGTTAGTGTAATCTGCTCATAAAAAAACACATGCCAATATCTGTAGAATAACAAATTCAAGGGCACATCTGGTATTTGAATAGCTGTTAGTGTAATTGAATCTGTTCATAAAAAAACACATTAATAATATCTGTAGTATAATAAGGAATTCAAAGACACATCTGATTGTTGGACCTGAAACCACTTTAAACAGGATTTTTTCAATTTTTGAGTTGAAAAAAAAATGGTGTTCTCTTATTGATGCTATTGTTGTCTTGACTACTGACTGTTTGGTAGATAATGCTTGTACAATGTTTATCTTGAGTTGAAGTGAATACTGTAAAATACTGTATTTTCACTTGGAATTAATTTCTGCAATTTTCGCTTCAAAGGAATAATTCAGTAAAAAAAAAATCCAGCGAATATACCTTTTTTTCCTATATTTTACATTCAACTCGTCAAAAAATCAGGGAAAAAAAAATTCCATACAAAACACCCAAAGATTCTTTACAGCAAAAAATTAATTCCAGCTAAAATAAAGTATTTTTCAGTATTCAAATTACAGCTCTTTCAACATCTGTTTCTGCATTACAACATTGACTAAGATAAAGTCAAACATAAGAGGTTAATCAACAGTATGTTTATATAAGTTAAATTATCTCAGACAAAACAAATCTTACTTGGTGCCACATTGATAACATCTCTTAATGATGTAAATACATGTGATGATTAACAGGAGATTATCTCCAATGCCTTTACATGTGCTGTGTTCACACAGCTTTGTCAACTCATCTAGATATATATGATACCATTTGAGTAAATGCTTGGCAGTCTTTTTTTAATAATCTAGTGAAATATAAAACCCATGCATATTAATTACCTAATTTGCAGATAATTAGCTAATATTTAGCTGTACCTAGTCTGTTCAACTTATACTGTAAAATTATCACTGAAAAGAATCTTTGGGTGTTTTGTATGAATAATTCCTTCAGTGAAAACTAATTCCAAGCGAAAATAAAGTATTTTACAGTACACATACCTTATTAGTTGGGGGGTTGAAATCTATTCGTAATATTTGCTTAATTTGCAATTTTTTTTCAAAAACCATCTATTGCATTTCAATAAGACTTGTTATACAAGTCCCTGGGAACAATGCATTAGTTTTGGATTGAAATTCAAGCATACTAATTGCTGAATTTGCACAATGTGCATAATCGTCACATTTCATTGAAATTTGGTTAATAGTTACTCTGGGGTAATGCATGATGTTTAATAATAAAAATATGCATATTGATTATATAATTATTATTAGCCAATTTTTTATATCTCCAAAAAATCAGATTTAAATTATGATAGAGGTGCTCTGGAATACAATACATTTGACTGAAAGCCACAGATGTAAAATCAAATGTATTTTATATATGTATAACTTCAATGGAAACATTGTTTTTGCATTTTACATCTCAAATAGCAGATAAATATAAGTTGCCAAGATTCTTGATTGGAAGGCTATTCGATTTTTAATATATCCTAATACTATCGGCACGATGAATTTTTAGCTCCGCTGTCGACTTTGTCGAGCGGAGCTTATCATATGATTGTCCGTCGTCGTCGTCCGTGTCAATGTTTTACTTTTTCGACTTCTTCTTGAAAACTACAAGCCTGAATGCTTTGATACTTGGTGTATATGTACCTTGGGTAGACCTCTCTTAGGTTTGTTCATTTCATGTTGATATCTTCAATTCTCTAATTTTGGTGAATATTTTTGTCATTTTTGGTAAAAAGTGATATTTTCGACTTCTTGTTAAAAACCGCAAGTGAAATTGCTTTGATATTACATATATAGGTACTACATGTGGACCTCTCTCAGATTTGTTCATTTTGTAATGATATCTTTAATTCTCTAATTTTGGTGAATATTTTTGTCATTTTTGGTAAAAAGTGATATTTTCGACTTCTTGTTAAAAACCACAAGTCCGATTG